GCGGCGCAGCGAGGAAGGTGCGGCCCGGCTGTCCCCGGCCTCCCGCGAGCCGGCCCCGCAGCCGGCCAGCCGCGCGCGCCGGGTGCATTTCTGTGACACACAATCAGCGCGGACTACAGCGCGGGGCAGCCCGCCTCGGACGCTCGGGCGCCGGGAGGCTTCGCTGGAGGGGCCGGGCAGAGGAGGTGAAGAGCAAAACGACGTTCTGCAGGAGGAAGAGCTCCCTGCCGAACCCTCGGGAAAGTTCCTTCCCCTGCGCCGGCCAGGCCGCCCCCGCCTTCCGGGTGTGCCTGCCACAGAAGGTGGAATGGGGACGTGGTGGTCCGGCTCTAGTGACGGGTCTGGGGGCGTCAGGTCTTTCCAAGGTTGGGACCCAAGGTGTGCGGCTCCAGCAGCCCGCACCGCCCGAGCCCGACCCTTGGCTCTTCCCTGCTCCACCTGGACCGCCTAGTTCCCCAGGGCCCGGGCGCCACCTACTACGTGACCCGACTCTCGGCCCCGCCTTGTCCCTACCTCGGCGTCCCTTCCATCTGCTGGTCTCCCCGTTTCCCCTCCTCCCTGTCCTTTGCCCACCCCGCGCCGCCCAGCATCCCTGCGCCCTGACTCGCGCCCAGGACCGGTTTCCATAGACCGCGGGCACTGGTCTTTCCCAAGCGGTCACTTGACGCCCCCTCCCCCGACACAGACTCTCGATCTGCCGCTGGTAGCAGCCGGTGCTGAGCTGGCGTCCGAGCTGCCGCTGGGTGGACGTGGGGGCGCCCACTGCACCCCCGCCTGCTCCCTCCCTCCCAGCCTCGTTCTCCGGCAGGAACTGAACAGAACCGCAAAAAGTCTGCATTTATTTAGTATGATGGTCTTTGCGAAAAGAAAGAAAGCAAAGCGAAAACCCGACAGGCTGCTGCTTTGTAGAAAGACGGTGTGTGTCGCGTGAAGGCGAACCCCGTGTATATATGCCCGCCCCGTCGAGTCCCCGCCGCCCGCCGGCCCTGCCTGTAGATACGCCCCGCTGTCTGTGCTGTGACAGTCGCCGCTCGCTGGGGGGGAGGGGGGACACAGCTACACGCCCACGCAAGCACAGCCCGTCCTAGGGAGGGGACATTTTTTATGTTACAAAAAAAATGACGAAAGAAATCTCTATGCAAAATGACGAACTCGGTCCTGTGGACTCCTGTCGCCTGTTTTGTTGACTATTTCTCTGTAATTCCGTGTTTTCGCTCTCTCCTCTCGGCTCCGCTCCCGCCGTCTCTCTCTCCGTCTCCGTCTGCTGTCTCGGTCTCTGCCCCTCCTCGGCCTGTCTCCCCGGCCCTGCCCCGGCCGCGCCGCCCTCGCAGGCTCGACCAGGGCCGGCAGCTGCAGCCCCCGGGCTCGCCCCCTCGCGGCCGGGCCGCCCCGCCAGCCCCGTAGTTGCTCTCTCAGTAGCGGCGATGCGCCCTGCATGTCTCCTCACCCGTGGATCGTGACGACTCGAAATAACAGAAACGAAGTCAATACAAGTGAAAATAAATAATAAATAAAAATCCTTGAACAAATCCGAAAAGGCTTGGAGTCCTCGCCCAGATCTCTCTCCTCTTCGAGCCTTTTTATTTGTAAAAAGAAAGCGAGAATAGTTTAAGGGAACTGCCGGCGCCTAGCCAGGCTCCAGTGGCCCGAGCGGGGCGACAAGGGCGCCGCGGTCCGCGATCCGCACTCCGCAGCCTAGGCCATCCCAGTCCTCGTGGGGCTGGCCGGGCACTAGCCCCGGACCAGGGCCGAACCTTTGAAAGGACCCCCGATGGCTCTGGTCTCCTCGGCCACTTCCAGTGCGTCGGTTCGTTTTGATTCTTTCTTTTTCTTTTTCTTTCTTTCTTTCTTTCTTTCTTTTTTTTTTTTTTTTTTGTGCACATGAGAAATAAATAATAATAATAAATAAACAATAATAATAATAAATAATAAAATTTTGTATGTCACTCCCCATGGCTCCAGGTTTGTCTCTCCCTGTCTGGGACGGGCTTCCCTTCACACTGGTCGATCCCCAATAACCCCCTCAACAACCCTCCCCAACTACCCTCCCACTGAGACCCCCATGCCATCCCCGCAACCAGGCGGCAGGCAAAGGCCCAGACCAGCCTGCCCTTCAGTAGTTGCCCTCCCCCACCCCTCATCCCTGCCCTCGGGTCAGGGAGTTCTGGCTTCCCAAAACTTCAAAATAATTTGGAATTACATATCTATACCGGCCCGTTCTGCCAACTGGCCACTCCAGTCGCATCCAGATTTAGGGTGCAGACTCTCCAAACGCGAAGTCTGAGGCCTTCACCCTCTCCACGTGGGTAGGGGGTGGTCTGCTGTCCTGTCCTAGGTTCCCCAACGGGCACAGTTGCGCGTGGGCACAGCCAACTCTATCCATAGAGTCTGCAATGAGACCGCAGAGACCGCAGACGCTTGCTGTAAATTACTTCTCTCCTCAGTTACTTCTGAGCCCAGAGAGCGCCAGCCCCAAGGAGACCTCTGGAGCCGGCTCATGGGACCTCGCGAGCCCTCGGTGTCTTTCAGGCCTGGCAAGCAACAGCTGGGACTGGCCCTGCGCTGCGGTCTGGTGTTTCCTAGACAGGGTGCGCAGGCGCCTGTGCCCGTTGGTTGGTGGCTTCCTGCATGCCTATGGATTTCTGCTTGCCTGTGTGGGTGTGTCCCTGGGTGGGTCCGGGGGTGGGTATTAGGAGAACTGCTTGTCTTTTTAGACATCCTTGTTGTTTGTGCCCAGGTGTCCAGTGAAGGATCTGTGTGTCTGACCCTGCGTCTCTCTTCCTGGTTGGGGGAGGGATATCCTGTTTTTCCTGCTGTATACTTGGAAGGGTCCCCTCTCCATCCCTTCAGCAATCTCCCAGCTCTTGCCCACCCACACTCTTGCCAACACAAAGTCCCCAGTTTCCACCTGGCTGGTCTCCAGCCTGGGAGATGTTCCTTCTCTGCCCTGGGAAACCTTCGCAGCTCAACTTCCATCTCATCCTCCTCCCACTGTAAAGGCTCTTGAAGCTCTGAGCTGCCAGGCATGACTGGGGTCTGCAAGCAGAACCTCTGGGCCGACTGAGGGGTCACCTTCCCTTTGGCTGGGGCAGTATCTCTCAGATACCTTCTTCGCACCAGGATTCCAGAGATCTTTCTTTCCCCAAGCCAGTTTGCCCAGCTTCACCCACAGCTCACCAACAAATGGCACCTCCTGGGGAAATATAGGACACCCAACAAATTAGAAAACCCCCAGTCAAGTCCATCCCCTTCCTTCTTCCTCTGCACCTGTGTCTCCTCCCTATTCTCTATCTCAGCAGATGGCAGTCCCACCTTCCACCCAGCCTGGTGCCACCCTTCTTCACCACTAGTCTCCCAGAAGAGCAGTCTTCAAACTTCTTTGGTCATGCACCCTACTGGTCAAAAGAATTCTGAATGTGTACTCCCAATATAAGCATATTACTTTTTTACAAATTCCATAAATGTACTACTGGACTAACATATCACGAATCTTTTTTTTTTTTTTTTTAAAGATGACCTGTAAGGTGATCTTAACCCTTGACTTGGTGTTGTCAGCACCACACTCTCCCAAGTGAGCCACAGGCCAGCCCGTGAATCTTATAAAACATAAAAAGAATGAGATTGGAAAACATAGAAATAGAAGTTGTAATATTTCCTTCTCATACCCAAATGGATTATCTTGTGCCCCCTGGAGGATGTACACTCTGCTTTGGAGATCCTGTTCAGAACCCTTGAAGACCCAGCATGGCAGAACTCCTGACTGTTGCCTGATGCCTAGCGAGTGAGTTCCCAGAAGTTGCCAGGACACTGGGTTGGGCCAGGGCAGCCCTCATCATATATAGCAGGCATCTGGTCCCCGGTGCCTAGCTTTGCCTCTGGGTCCCCTCCAGACAGGGAGCACTGTCCTTCCCAATCCATCAAATGGGAGCCAGGGCTTTTCACGTGGGTCCCACCAGAACCTCTTATCTTCTGTTCTATTACTGGTCTCTCTCATAGTGAACTGGACAGCAAAGTCCCACTGTTTACAGTGACCACCTCTTCCCAGAAGCTTTCATGCTGTGTCCCTCCTGGGGTGCTGATTTCAGCTTGAAATCAGTACAAGGGCCCCAAAACATGCTCTATAGTCCTTGGCCAGTTGCCTACTTTAACTGAGGCCCCATTCGCCCACCCCAACACAAATAGGGCCTGTCTTCCAGTTTCAGTTTGTTTTTCCCAGAACTCGTTTTGAATCTACTAGTCCTGTCCCCACCCCCCCACCCCCAGCTGAGATACACCAAGTATGACAATTACAAACAGATGAAAAAAAGTGTGCTGCGTTGAGGCAATGGCAGGAGCAAAGACATGAAGGCATACCGGATAAAATGTGGCTGGAGTCTCAGGTGCCTGGGGAGAGACATTGTGTGGGGAGGAGTGGCAGGAGATGAAGCTTAAAAGTAGTTGGTATCCAGGACACTGTAGTTCGAATGTCAAAATGATGCCTGTCACTCACACAGCTCCTTTAAGGAAGCTGCCCCACCCACAGCCACCTCCTGC